TTCCAAGAAAATTCAATATTTTCTTTAGTAAAAGTGTGATAATATCAGTTTCATCTATAACCACTTAGTTTATGCTAGCCACGTATAAACCAATATCGAACAGACAGTTGATTATGTGGATCTTCCCTAAGCCCACAACCAAACAAGGAACAGGAAATGAGGTAGAAACCACACATTCCACAGTCTATCGAATATTCTCCATACGTAGCCCTGATGCCTAAACTAAGGAATTATAGAATTAACTATGAATGTTTGTTATTGTATCCTGTTTGTAATATAAGAAAACGTTAGTTTGTATGTCTGGTTACTATCAATCGTAGTATGTGTGTATTCTTGTGCAAAAACCTTTATATAGTATGTTCTGTTTGAAAACTCTTGCTACCACCAGTATGTATAATAGTTTCATTACTTAAAATAAAAACTAATGAAGAATGAAATCGCATAAACAAATGGTTAGTTTATACTATTGTGAGTCGTATAACCATGCTTGATATGACCTAGTGACCTTTACGACGTTCTTCAAGTGTCGGTTAAATGACATTTGTCACCCCAGTCATGTCTGCCTAACTGTAGCTAGCAGTTCAGGTGTGGGATTGTCAGTCCCGAATAGATCTATTCACAAATCTCACGTTCTCCCTCCAGGAGACTCTGGTTATACTATGATAGGATTTAACCTGTACCCAGAAGGGTACAATTGAAGTGTTGTCTCACAATCCTGTATTAACTAGTTTATGTGTTGTTTCTGTATTGTTCTCTTGTATTTGAATCCGTTGTATACTATATAAGGTAATAATTATACTTAAATAATTATTAAATGTTGTACTCTTGTAGTAATGTATATCATAAACTAAATCTGTCATAGTTTATATGTTTACCCATGTATGTAATCTGAATCAGTAAAAGTTGTGTATTGAATTCCCCAAACTATACCCATTATAGTTTGCTTGAAATGTTATGTACTTGGTTTGTAAATTGTTCTGAAAATTATGCAATTAGGTTTCCAAGATAAAAGTGTCCCTTATGCTCAACATAGTACAAAAGGGATAAAATATCTAAATATTTTATAAAACGTGGAAATCGTTTAACTGTATCAATTGCATAAGTTTTAAACTTGTTAAAATCATTTGTTTTTGGCTTGTATCCCCCCCCCCTGAAAACATTAAAAATCATAAAAGCGTAGGGGTATGAACTCACTGTTAGTTGTATACAAGCGTCGAATCAACGGATTGAAATGAAGACCCTCGAGTTGTAGTGTGTGGCACTTAACGGAATCCTAACAACAATTAAATACATATATGTATCTAAATTAGCGATTTCGTTAGATAAAGTGTTAGAAAAACACTTGCTTTCGGCTAAGGAATGTTATCGGGACTTGGTTGAGTCGAGGAAAGTGGGTTTTCAGTCTAATGCACCACTTAGGAAGTGTGTACGGCCGTGAATGGGGTTTGCGGCCATGAAGGGAGTACGGCCTTTGAAGGTTTGAAGTGTGTACGACCGTAAACTGGTGTACGGTCAATGAAGATTTGCAGACTTGAAGGGTGTACGGCCGTACACTCAAGCACGAGGATGCTGGATTCGACGAAAAACGTGTTCTAGATGTTCCGAAATGTCCCCCAATGGTGATTCTCGATGTTTTCCGGAAGAATAAGGGTGTTTTTGGGGTGTACGGTCAAGAGCTTAGAGAGAGAAGGAGAGAGTGTTCGGCCAGAAAAGTGTAAATGAGGGATAGGGTCTCGTATTTATAGGGGTTCTCGTGGTCGGTGGTGGGGTCCACCCGACGTTGTCCATAAACGAGTGTACGGCCATACATGGGTTTACGGCCGTAAACTCACTTAGGCCGAAAACCGATGTTTTGATCGAAGGATAACTCGAAATTTCGCGAAGTTTTGGTCCCGACTCATATAAAAATTTAATTATATAAAACTAGATGATTTTCTAAGCCAAGAAGTTTGACGGGAACTTAATAAAATTCAAATTTTATTAATGGAAATTGGTTAATGGAAACGGAAAAAGGTTCGGGTTGTCACAGCCAACGTTTTTTCAGAGCACCAAACGCTCGTTGAACATCCTTTCTCGCCTTCTCTTGATCTCACTTAAACTTCAACCTTTTGCGATCATTTGGACAAGACAGTGACTTCACAAAACAAGCACACTGTGGATAGATCCCGTCCACAAGATAATACCCGTTCATATACGACGTTCCACATAATTGAAAGGAAAAATCTGGTGCAGTCTCGTTATACACGTCGTCAAATAACAGAGACTTGTTAAGAACATTAATGTCGTTGAGGGAACTAGCATAACCAAAGAATTCATGCCATATCCACAAATCCTGTTAGGCCACCGCTTCAAGTAAGATAGTTGGATAACCATGTTCGCCTCGGGTGTGTTGTCCTTGATAGGCATTCATGCAATTTCCCCATTCCCAATGGAGGCAATTTAGGCTTCCTAACATTCCAGGGAAGCCGTGCACATTCAGATGATGTGTATATAACTGTTGGACGTTACTAGAAGCATGTTTGTGTAGATATCGTGGACCGTATATTCTCATGACATACTTACAAAATTTGTGAAGGCTTTGTCGTGCAATACGTTCATACTTCCTAACATTCTCATCTAATGTATTGGGGAAGTGGTATATGCTAATTGACGAAGTGCGGCGGTGTATTTTTGTAAAGAGTAAAACCAAATGTACCTCTAGCGTCTGAACGTTGTTGAAAATATGGACACACTTCGTGACGTCGTTGATGGTACACAAAAATAGTGGTTTATGCATACGGAACCATCGACGAAAGTAATATCATTAAAACGTCGCATTTTCGTCAAAATAATCTTGCACGAGCCGTTGTTTAGCCGCCTCACGATGTCTTTGTATGTACCTTCTTTTTCTCCGGCACGCATTATCTGCATTTTGTTTTCGTAGTTCTTCAATCTTCTATTCAGCCTCTTGAATGACCTATATGGTCGTTTCAAGCAACGCATCAAACAAAACCTAACGATGAAGACGATTCAAATGACATTTTTAGAGAGAATATGGAACAAGATTTTAATGCGGTAAATGATGGAGTGTTAGGTTTTATTTATAGGGATTTAAAAAAAAATTAAGCCAAAAGAGTCGTTGCTCATTGGTTGGAGGAAAATGGTAAAACTCGGTAACATTTCACCGAAGTACGCCGCCGAGTCGAGTTCGTCGAGGTGGTGGCGCGGTGTTCGCCGAGGCCACCACGAATTTGCCTAGTTGGGTGTCGAACCCCTCCGTCGAGTCTAAGGGTGATGTTTGACGACTTTAGCGTAGGTGGGGAGGAGCTTGGCGCATGTCACTCCTTGCGGTCTTAATTCTCTAGTTTTTAGGGTTTATGCCACAAAAACCGTTATATATACAATCTTGTTCTGTTTTAGCCCAAATTTTATTTTTTGTTCCTCATTTGTCATTATATTTTAGAAAACATTTCATTTTCGGGTCATTGGCCGGCCACCAACAGGTCATGATAACGTGTCGGTTTCACATTTTTCTCAGTTTGCATTTAGCTCCAACATTTACGTATGAGTTTGCATTTAGCCCCAACATTTAAGTATGAGTTTGCATTTAGCCCCAACATTTTTTTTGTTCTCCATTTAGCATTATTTTTTAGAAAAAAATTCATTTTAGCTATTGGCTAGTCACGAATAAGTATTTTAAAACGTAATATCTTAAAATGAAAAAAAAAAAAAAAAAGACGAACACAAGAGTCGAAACTGCAACTTCTCCTTGAGGGGCGATGTGTGTTAGCTACTAAGTCAATGACTTTTTTTTTTGTTTTATCAGTGTTTGTTGTATTTAATATATACATGTATTTTAAAATAAAGGAAAAAGACGAGACATCTAATAAACAATGTGGCATGTTTGTTGTATTCAATGTACACATGTATTTTAAAATGAAGGAAAAATATCTAGTGTAAGTTTTGAGTCTCTAACATCTAATAAACAATATGACATGTTAATCTTTAAACAAATCAAAATTGTTAATTCATTTGTAACTCATCTAAGAAACAATTGGATATTTCTAATGATATATTTGTTGAGAAAATTTCTAATGACATATTTCTTGAGAACCAAAGAAATGTTATTTTTATTAGCTTAAAAATTAACATGTCACATCGTTTATTAGATGTCTTGGACTCGAGACTTACACTATGTCTTTTTCTTTCATTTTAAAATACATTTGTATATTAAATACAACAAACACTGATAATACAAAAAAGAGAGTCATTGACTTACTACATTAACAACAACAAACACTCATAATACAAAAATGAGAATCATTGGCTTACTAGCTAATACGTTCTGCCCTCAAGGAGAAGTCGCAGTTTCGACTATTGCCTTCGTATTTTCCTTTTTTATTTTAAGTTATTACGTTTTAAAATATCTATTCGTGACTGACTAGTAAAATGAAAAATTTCCTAAAAAATAATTGCAAATGGGGAACAATAAAAATGTTGGGCTAAATGCAATTATGACTAAATGCAAACTCATACGTAAATATTGAGACTAAATGCAAACTGAAAAAAATACGAAACCGGTATATCATCATGACCTGTTGGTGACTGACCAAAGGCCGAAAAATAAAACTTTTTCTAAAATATAATGACAAGTGAGGTATAAAAAATAAATGAGGTACAAAAAATAAAATTGAGACTTATAATGACTTTATGGCATAAACCTAGTTTTTATTATTTTTAATTTTTTTTATTATATAATAGACGGTTTGACTTTCGGTCAACTGCATTTAGTTTAGTATTATAGGCATAAAATAAGAGTACGAACATGATATTGATATTTTTTTTTTTCTTCACAAAAGATATAAAAATACATTGCAAAGCCAAAATATCCAACCCTTACCACTACTCAACAAAAAAGACATGCTGAACAAATTCACTACCACAATAATTTCATGATCCAATATAATAATATGGAAATCACGAAAAAGGTACTAATAATGGAAACTAATTTACAAATATAATTATCCCGGAGTTTGTTTATCGGTCGACGACGTCCAGACGATGTCCTTAAGCGCCGGCCGGAGCTCTTTACTGCAGAACTGGTTGTACTCCAGGGTGTCGCCGCTTGATTTCTTCACCTCAACCACAAACAACGACGGCGCCACCGCCCAGATGTCTGCCGCTATTCCTAACTTCCCTTTTCTTCCTATCTCATTGCCCTGTAGTCTCAAACTGCTATCGTCTCCGCTCTTCTTCACGCTGAATTTCACCTTCTTAGCCATCTCTTCAAGCTTCGACACCACCACCTCCGCCGGCTTCGTCGTCGCGAACCTGATCTCTTGTTTCTCCTCTCTTTTCTTCTCCTCGAATAATGGAGACAGATCAAAACCTTCCGATAACGAAATTATGTGAAACGCATTCAAAGTCTCCGTTTCCTTGCCTTTCAGATTTCCGACGTCGTCTTCGCAGATAAATTTGGGGTTTTTCGGAGCTGCCTTTTTGAACCATGGCGAATCCATGATTTTGGAGATTGTGCATCGACAATCCGGATTCGGATCGAGCAATTTCGTGATGAGGCGGCGTGCGTCGGATGAGAACCACGGCGGACACCTAAAATCACCTCGGTAAATTTTCCGGTACATCGCGACGACGTTTTCTTCCTGAAAAGGTAAGAATCCGGCGAGAAGGACGTAGAGGATAACTCCACAAGACCAGATATCAGCTTTGGCGCCGTGGTATCCTTTTTTGCCGATAACTTCCGGTGCGACGTAAGCTGGAGTACCGCATGTTGTATGTAACAGTCCATCCTGATGAAGATGATCGGAAAAAGCACTAAGCCCGAAATCCGTCACCTTCAAATTGCCTTCCTCGTCTAATAATAGATTTTCCGGCTTCAGATCTCGGTGGAATACGCCACGACTGTGACAGAAATCGACGGCAGAAATGAGCTGCTGAAAATAACTCCTTGCAACGTCCTCCCGGAGCTTCCCTTTCTCAATCTTCGAAAACAATTCTCCGCCTCTAACGAGCTCCATGGCAAAATAAATTTTAGATTTACTGGCCATGACCTCGTGAAGCTCGACGATGTTCGGATGTCGTACCATCTTCATCACCGAAATCTCTCGCTTAATTTGATCCATCATGCCGGCCTTTATCACCTTCTCCTTCCCGACAACTTTCATCGCCATGCTCCTCCCAGTCTGCAGGTTTCGCGCGTGGTACACCTTCGCAAACGTTCCGTGCCCTAATTGACGTCCTAGTTCGTACTTCCCGTGCAATACACCGTTGTTCCCGTCCTCCGACATCACTTCTGCAGATGTAGAATTCAATAAGCTCCAAAATCAACACCACAATCACCAAATCGCAAAAAGTTCACCCGTCTTCAACGTGTTTCCGGTGGCAATTTCTGCCTCCGATGGGTTTGTTCACCCTCCCACCGTTAGACAGCCGCTCTTCTCCTCTCATCTCTCTGCATTCCCTAACCGGAATCAATATCTCGAATCGAATTTTGAGAATTTTGTTGGTTTGTTTGGGATGGAAATATACCGGCGAACTTTCAGGCGCCTGATTTCTTTTCAAAACGATGGTTGGAACTTGGAAGCTTTATATAGGCGGTTTTCATAGAGGTGAAGTACACGTTTGTCCGTTAGATTTAGGGGATGTGGATCCAACGGCTGCATCTGTGCTTGTTCCGTGATAAGTGACACGATGGCACACAAAAACAAAATTGAGGTGCATTATTTTCATTTCTAATTTAATCTGGTTATACAAAATAAAATATAGGAATTAACTTTTTCCTAACTTTAATATATTTATAAGTTTAAAAAGGAAACTTAATACTTTATCTAAACTTTTTTTTGGCTAAAATTTGACAAAATATAATAAATCTTCAAAGTTAAGCATCAATTTTGGTAGGTCATTTGTGAAATACTCAAAATGACATTGTTTTAAGTAAAATTGTTAAGATTGTGATTTTATTTAGGATTTTTTTGTTTTTACAATATAGTAATTATAAAATCGGATCAGAATATTACATGGATATAAGTTTAAAATTCTTTTCCAAAGAAGATATAAGTTTAAAACATAAAATTACAATGTCATATCAGTTGATTGTAAGATTAGATTGAGATCTTAAAATCTTATAAAAATTTTCTTGTCATTTATAGTTCAAATATGTGAAAAAGAAATAGAGGTAAATGGGTAACGACTAAATTCCGATTTTGATTAAATGTTAGGATTGGATGTGGATCGGGATCTCAAGATCCTAAATACAATTTTATGCTAAACTCAATCATAATACGATCTAAATTGTTTTTCAAAGATAGGATCGTAGGGTCGTAAGATCCTACAATGATAATCAGAATATTGATAACTTTGGTTTTTAAGTATTTATATTGGGATCCATCTATTTCATAAGACACGTACAAAAGGTCCTACAAAGTAGGCTAGAAATGGAACTGCAAAATGAAAATATATCGGCGAACTTATAGGCACCTGATGATTTCTGAGGGACATTTTTAAGGAAAAAAAATTTGTTAAATTGTCTGACAAGTATGTGGTGGGTTTTCTATGCATCAAATACACTTAAATTAAGTAGCAAAAAAATCAAATTATTATATACCTAAGTGTACATGCAACCTAACAATCTACAGCTTCATACTAATTACAAGTACCTTATGAAAACATAAACATAAAGAAGAAAAACATACCTCTTATGTAGCCCTTAATCTCCATGCTTGAGATCTTGATCTCCATAAGGTTGCTTGGATGAGAGGAACCAAACCAGAATCCCTCTAATGATATCACACCCAATGCCACCAAAGAGTGGAATCAAATTGTCACACCCCCGGCCGACGCGGCGGAACATGTCGGGTTGTGCAACTTAGTTCATGGATCACATGCAATTGGATTTATAGAACAAGTACAACGATAAACAAATAGTAGTTGCATTTCATCTTGATGTTTGAATACAAGGTTCTTACATATAATAATAGAGAACATGAATTGCCTTAAACATGTAGGCAGATATAACAAAAACTAGAAAAGACTAGGTCGACTGAAATCCATGACTATTCCGTCGTCTGAAATATTTTTTTAATGATTTCCTGAGAATACATGTAGTTTTGAAAGTCAACAGAAGATTGGTTAGAGTTACAAGTTTTCTGCTAGTGCAGTAATGATACTTTTAAAATGACTAAAAAGTATTTTTCCTTGTAAGTAAAACCATACTTAAAAGTGCTTTATAGAGAAAGAAACAAACTCCATAGTTTATATATATATATATATATATATATATATATATATATATATATATATATATATATATATATATATATATATATATATATGACAAAACTGCAAAAATGGTCCCTATGGTATGCATTTTTTTGGGGTTTTAGTCCAAACTATGACTTTTTTGGATTGGTGGTCCTTTTGGCCATGTTTGTACGTAGATTTGGTCCCTCGTAAAATTGAAATGACTATAATACCCTTCTGATATATTTTTTTATTTATTTCTATTTAATTTAAATGAAAAAGAAAATAAATAATTAATTTGGGCCCACCTCTCTCTCTCTCTCTCTCTCTCTCTCTCTACAAACACACACACACGATCCCCACCCCCATTCTTCCCCAACCGAACCATTCACCTTCATCGCTCTTGCTTCACCCCACACCTCCGTCTTCTTCTCTGATTTAACCTCGCCTCATCCCTGGTCTCTGTTATCGCCTGGAGTCATCTATCCACAGGAAAATGGAACGATATCCCTAAATTATCCCCATCTAATCATCCATCGATTGATAGCTGTTGATCCAAACCTCCCACCATTGGCGTTTGCAGCAATCTGGAGACGATTTCTCTCCCTCTGCATCACTACCGAATCCAAAGGAAATCAGCCCTTATCATCATCTCATACCTACAACTTGAGACCTGCTTATCAATTTTACAAAGAAAGAAGAAAGAGACATCGAATCTCCCTGTCCCATCTTCTCGTTCAAAATCAAATAAGAAAAAGAGGATCATTGAGAGTTGCGATCGAAAACACATACACACACCTATTAATCGATCCAGCTAAGATAAAGAAAGGATATCCATGGTTCGATTTCACATGTAAAATCAATTTCAGATTCGAAATATGAAAAACCAAAAGAAGAATCCAGTTTGAGGATATTGATTTCAAATGGGTTTACACACCCTTTTCGTGTTCTTCAATGTGTGTTTTTCAGTTTGAGGATATTGATTTCAAATGGGAACACATTTTCTGATTTCAACAATAGGTAAAAAGGGAAACAGATGATTTTTGTGTCGTTGCAATGAGTGAAGATGGAGATTTGGAAGGGAACATAGTGGACAAGAGTAAATGATTTGGGATGTAGAGAACCCACTGAAGTGAAATGGAAAATGAAGGTTTCTTGATGATGACGGAGAGAGAGAGAGAGAGAGAGAGGTGGACCCGGTTTTATATTTAATAATAATAATAATTTTAAAAAGTGAAAGAAAAATAAAAATTAAATTCATTAAGGGTATAATAGTCTTTTTAGTTTGGGCAGGGACCAAAAATGCATGTAAACTAGCTTAAAAGGACCATCGATCCAAAAAAGTCGATGTTTGGACTAAAACCCCAAAAAAATGCATACCATAGGGACCATTTTTGCAATTTTGTCTATATATATATATATATATATATATATATATATATATATATATATATATATATATATATATATATATATATATATATTGTAACATCCCAAAAATTCCAAGAAAATTTAAACTTTTCAAAACAACCCATTTACTAATAAAGGTGTTTACACAATCATTGTTTCTAAAAGATTATTTAAAATCAGAGTCTCCCAAGATCCGATCGGTAGTAAAAGCAAGGATGTATACGGTCATGCCTTCGCCTCGCCACAATCATTTGAAACACCTGAAACAATAAACTGAAAATGTAAGCACATAACTTAGTGAGTTCCCCCAAAATACCAACACATCACATAATCATAATCATAACAACGAACAACATGAATATAGAGCCTTTAGTCTGAATGGAACACCCTATCGGCCTACAGTTTACCTGGTACACTCACAGAACCTACAACATGACTGGTATGCCACACCGGGCCTTCAGCCTATCTGGACCGTTCTCCGGGCCTTCGACCTGACTGGTACGCCCCACTGGCCGTCAGTCTATCCGGGACGCCTTGGGTCTGTTGGCCTTCAGCACAAAGCAGGACCGCCTCAACCTAACCACATATACACCATGTCGACACACATATATAATAGACAATCATACAAATAACCATCCAATAACAAACAAACAGATCTTACAGATCACTACGCATAGCATCATCCTATTTACCAGGATACAGATCTAATAATCATACGATAAACCAGGATAACAATCTAAAGGGTCGGCCTTGGTGCCTTCGACCCGTAAGTACAATGAGGAAAAATCACCTCTCGATCTGATCAATAGCTGATGAGGCCCCGCCTCCGAATCTCAGCTTTAACCGATACTTGTCCAACCAAAATACTAAATTCTCAAACACCATCCAAAAGACCAATTCTCAATACCAACCAAAATACCCAAAATACCCTTTAGGTCAAACTTGTTCAAAGTCAAAAGTCAAGGTCAACATTCTATGTTGACCCAACACACCGTGTTCCCCTTGGCCACGCCGTGTTCCGCCAGCATCCAAACAATCGGGAAAATCCCAGCCAACACGCCGTGTTGGCTTAGAAACATGTCGTGTATGCCGAAGTTCCAACAGCTTAATACATTAAGTTGTTGTCTTCGATTCCAAGAGCTCCAAAACTCAGATCTAGTCCAAAATGTGATCCAGAAGGATAAAGTTTCCAAATTTATTCATTAGGACTACCCAAAAGATCCAAAAACCCAATCCATAAAGCTTCATAATACCCAAAAGATCCAAAACCCAATCCATAAAGCTTCATAATGCAAGGGCTTAACCAATAAGCACTTAATCCTTAAAGTCTGAAGTCCATCCTTTCCAAAAGTGAGTCTAACACCAAAACCATCCTAAAGGTTGGTGCTTTATAGTCATACATGTCCAATCCATGTCTTGTACTCATATTAGGTCAAAATGAGGATTTATGATCTAATCTCTATGCATGACATCACAACTTGATTATAGACCAGATCCAAGACACTACTATGTCACCTTGACCTGGAGATTCATAAAGTTGCAAACTTTATGAGATCTAACCATTTCAACATTCAAGAACAAGAAGCAAAAAGGGACAAAACCCAAGATCTAACAACTTTGAATGATAAAAATGGAGTCT